GACAGAGAGCAACACCCTAGGAAAAGTGTTCAACTGCACAGCTGGAGGATGCCTCCCTTGGAACTCCCAGAGACTTGTTTATGGTCTGCGGTCCATCTCCCCAAAGGGGAGATGCTAAAAAAACTGGGGGTGTAAACAGAGCTCCCTTTAGTCAACGGGAGGGACAAGATGGAGAGCAATGTGACAGCCCCTCCCCCCCAGGACACTGATGATAAGTTCCCCTTCTCTTCTTCCCCTCCTATCAGGGATTCTCCATCATCAGTAAAGTAAAAAGGAAAATATTTGTAGCACTGGGTTGAAATGAGGGGTGGGTCCTTGGGGCTCTCTGAGCTTGGTTTTTTTTTTTCTTGCAGTGCTGATGATGTTGCCTAGTCTGGGTCCTGAAACATCTGTAAGAAAATAATCAAACTCAGGGTGACCCAAGGAGCCCTCACTCTCTACCATTCTTGTCCACCACCAAATCTTAGAACGCCCCCCCTGAGCTTGCATTTCCTCCCCCCCACACACACACACACATTTGCAGCTGACTGGTTCGCTCCCTCCCTCCCTCCCTCCGGTTCGCCCTGCTCCCCCACCAACACTGGCGGTGAGGAACTTGTGATGCACAAGGCCTCCTTCCAATTTCAGCCTTCCCAAAGCATTCAACATTTTCCTTACAAAGAGGCAGAGGGAGTGGAGAGAATGCAAAACTGATGCCACGAAGGGCAGGTGAAGCAGTCAACCACGGCCGTAAATCAGGCTAGGTTAGAGACACGCTGAGAGTGAAGAAGAGAGCCAGTGAAATTCCGAGCTCCTTGGAAGCGGAGGGGCAGGGCTGGCCTTCCACCTGGAGTCCTGGGAGGCATTTCCTGCCATCTCCGCTGCTCCCAGGTGTGGCTGGACTTTGTTTCCCCCGGGCAGGTGTGTCAAGGTGAGCGCTACGCTCAGCGACCTTTGGACTCCTTCGCCAGCACAGCCTTGGCTCAGGGTGCCTCCGCCCTCGCCTCGCTTCTGCCCGGAGTTGAGCCGGCCCGCTCCCCGACGCCTGCGAGAAGCGGGCGGGCCGCATTTCGCCCGGAGACGCCGCCGCCTCTCCCTCCTGCCTCCGGGCCTCGCCCGCCGCCCCTCGTGCCCTCGGCTGGGCGGGAGAGGGACGGCCCTGCTCGGGAGCGCGGTGCGTGCCGGAGCCCCGAGCGGCTGCGGGGGGAGGCTCGGCCTGCTCGGCTGCTCCGGCGCCGGCGGCGGAGCGGGATCCGGGGGGCCGCGGCTTCCTTCGCCTCAAGCGCTCGGCCAATGGCGCGCGGCCGGGCCGGGGCAGGCGCNNGAAGGCTCGTCGTCCGCGCGGGATGCGGATTGCGGCCGGGCAGGCCGGCCCCCGCTTGGCCCTCTTCCGCCTCCGGAGTCCGTCGGCAGCCCGGAGGATGCGGCAATGTAAGGCGCCGGCGGGCGGGCGGGCGGGCGGGCCGGCGGGAGGCCGGGGCTGCTCGGGCGGCCGCTGGTGACGCCGGCCTGCTCGTTGCAGAGCGGGATGGTGGGCTGCGCGCTCTGGCATGTCGTCCGGGAGGGCCGAGCTGAAGGAGGGCGCTTCCGCGGCTAAGTTCTTCGTGGGCTCCCGCGATGAGGAGGTGGACTTCCCGGGAGCAGAGCTGAAGATGGAGGAGCTGCGCTTCTTTGAGGATGAGGAGGAGGAAGAGGAGGAGGAGGAGTCGGTGAGGAGGAGGAGGAGGAGGAAGAGGCTTGCTCCGCCTGCCTTAGGAGGAGCCCTGCTGGCTTGGAGGCCCTGGGAAGCCCCCCCTGCGCCCAGAGAGGCCGGCTGGAAGTCCCCCTGAGGGGGCACCAGGGGCGGCGGAGGGGGGGATGCTCCTCTTGTGTTTCTGAGGGCATCCAGAAGGGAGGGTTCTGCCTGGCGGGTTCCCTTCTTCTTCTTCTCCTGGAAGTCCTTGTTACTGATAGGGTTGCCAGGTGTCCACTATTTGAGTGGACAGTCCACTTTTTTCACATTATGTTCGCTATTTTTTTTCACAAAATAGTGGACATTTTTTTTTATTCAAAAGCTTCATGATGAAATGGTACGTAATCTAAAGCTGTACAGTCTACTTTTTTTTACTACTTAAACCCCCCCCCCCCGCTTGTCCGCTATTTTTTGGAAGCAGACCTGGCAACCCTAGTTACTTCCGGCCCGCATGTGTTTTCGTGGGAATAGCCCCCCCCACCTTTGTTTTGCTTTTGTGCCTGGGTTTATGGAGGAGCCCAGTTTTGCCAGACCACCCACTGCCCAAGATGACGCTGCTGCTACTACGTCTCCCTCGCAGCCTCCAGAACGGCAGATTGTGGTTGGCATTTGCGCCATGACCAAAAAGTCCAAATCGAAGCCCATGACCCAAATCCTGGAGCGGCTGTGCAAGTTTGAATACATCGCGGTGGTGATCATGGGGGAAGACGTCATCCTAAACGAGCCAGTGGAGAAGTGGCCGGCCTGCGACTGCCTGGTCTCCTTCCACTCCAAAGGTTGGCCCGTTGGTCTCCCCGCTCCTCTTCCTGGCCTGGGTCCTCAGCTGGTGGTGAACACGTTTTTCCTCCCCAAATCTTCCAGGGTTCCCTCTGGACAAAGCCGTTGCTTACGCCAAGCTCCGCAACCCTTTTCTGATTAACGACCTTGATATGCAATATTACATCCAGGACAGGTAGGGTGGTGGAGGTGGATAACCTTGCTGGGTTATTATGGGCTGCATGACGTGTTATGCCTCCAACAGCAGGCCGGATCTGCACCACGATCTTCCACCAGATCTTTGGGCTGGTTTGGGTGGAAGCAGCTTAAAAGCCAGAATTTAGTTGACTAGGCTACCACCCTCACCAGAGAAGAGCAAGGCGGACTGGAGCGGAGTCAAACCCTTAGCTTATCCTGTGATCCAAATGTGCTCTGGCCATCCGGGTGGACCCAGGAAGCAGGAAGGTCAGAATCGGCCACCTCCCTCACCCAGAGAATCCTGCCTGTGTTCCCGTCCTCTGTAGGCGGGAGGTCTACCGGATCCTGCAGGAAGAGGGAGTCGACCTGCCTCGTTATGCGGTGCTGAACCGGGACCCTGATCGCCCAGAGGGTGAGTGGAGCAGGCAGGGCACTTTGGAGGCAAGGCAAGTGGGTCAGTTGCCAGATGAGCAGGAAGTTGCCCCCTTTGCTGCCCTTAAACACCCGGAAGTAGACCAGGGACTGAGAACACACAACGCGTGGCTGTATTTGTGCAACCTAGTTGGGGAGGGCTAAGAGGCATTGGGAAAACCTAGAAAATGGATGACTCTAGTACCGTGTTGTGCAGGGCAGTTTCCTTTGTTGCCCAGAGCATTGCCAGGAGAGCCTTGGCCTCAGAGGGCATCCTGGGCCAGTGGCCGATGCCCTCAGGAGAGGAAGTGGCCTCTTTCTTGTGCCTGAAGAAGCATCAGAAGAGCTCAGAACTCAGCTTTGCAGGGTGATGGCTACTAAAGAGGGTCTTCTCCTTGATCAATGGAGAATATTTGTAACTCAGGGTTAAAATGGGGGGTCTTTGGTGTTCTCTGACCTTGGCTGTTTTCTTGCAGATGTTTCATTACCCAACCTAGGTAACATCATCAAACTAGACTAGCACTGATGATGTTTTTCTTGATCCTCTGTTAGGCTACAGGTTTACCTCTACCCACTCACCACCAGTTAGCCCCCTTACCTCATCTTCAGGTGTGCCCAATTCCTTTGAACTCTCTCGTTGCAGCAGGACGTGCCCCCTGCCCCTCTTAGTGCAACCATTTTGCATAGTGGCTTTCCATCCTTTCCCCCTCCCTGCCACTCTCAGCCGGTCCCAGCCTCCTCCAAGGAGGATCCTGGGTGGAAAAGTCTGGAGGCTCCATAGCTCCCCAAGAAAGAGAAGTTGAGGGGGGGGTCAGCTTCCTGTCTCTGAAGGGCCTGTATTTTTGTGCAGAGTGCAGCCTGGTGGAGGGAGAGGACCACGTGGAGGTCAACGGGGCCATTTTCCCCAAGCCCTTTGTGGAAAAGCCAGTCAGTGCTGAGGACCACAACGTCTACATCTACTATCCCTCTTCGGCTGGTGGGGGCAGCCAGCGCCTTTTCCGCAAGGTGAGAAGGCTGTGGCTTTGGCTGGGGCAGCTTTGTCTGATGAGTGGCATTTGCAAATAGTACCTGGCTATCATCTCTATTGAATTCTGATGGCTCTGGAATCTGTAAGGCCTTGGGTGACTTCTTTTCAGGAGATGGTGTGAATAATACTTTTTTTACAGTTAAGCCCAAAGCAGTAATCCCAAGCCAGAGAGAGAGAGGGAGAGAGAGAGAGGGAGAGGGAGAGCGAGCGAGCGAGAGAGAGAGAGAGAGAGAGAGAGAGAGAGAGAGCAGCCCGGTTTGAAACAGTTGCCTGGCGTGAGCCCTTGCTGTCCAGGTGTAGGTGTCTTTTGCTCCTCTGTGTGAGGAGCCAGCCGCTCCGGGACTCGTGGCCCGTCTCTACTGAGATGAGCTCACATCTCTAGCTGAGTTCCTCAACTGTTTCAGATTGGGAGCCGCAGCAGCGTCTACTCTCCAGAGAGCAGCGTACGGAAGACTGGATCATATATTTATGAGGAGTTCATGCCTACGGATGGCACAGATGTCAAGGTAGAAGGGGACCTGCTGAGAGGAGCCCTCTGAGTTGGGCAGACAGCCTGGTTGCCCAGGTTCCTTTGAGGTCCTCTTGGCAGCTCTTGAGTGCGTTGACTGCTGGTGCTCTTTCATTCAGGTCTACACGGTGGGTCCCGACTATGCTCATGCCGAGGCACGGAAGTCCCCTGCTCTTGATGGGAAGGTGGAACGGGATAGCGAAGGAAAGGAGATCCGCTACCCAGTTATGTTAACAGCCATAGAAAAGCTGGTGGCCCGAAAAGTCTGTGTGGCCTTCAAGGTTAGTCTTTCCCTCTGACCTGTGGCCTCCTGGAGCCCTCCCTGAAGTTGTTAACTCTTGTTGCCGAGGCCTGGAATTCTTGGACAGGGCTTGGAGCCACCCTCCCCTCCCCAAACAGAGGAATGTGCTTCCCTGGCTCTGAAGTTTCAAGCTGTAGATGCTGCTTCGCCCAGTCCCAGCATCTCCCTGCCAAAGCTGACAGAGAAATGGGGCTGAGGGGCTCCTACTGTTGGTAGAGTGCCAGAAAGAGGCCCATGTGTCACTTCCCTTGGGTCTTGTCTCATCCTTTGCAGCAGACAGTGTGCGGCTTTGACTTACTGCGGGCCAACGGCCAGTCCTTCGTCTGTGATGTCAACGGCTTCAGTTTTGTGAAGAACTCTATGAAGTACTATGACGACTGTGCCAAGCTCCTTGGGTATGTGGTGCTTCGGTTGATTGTCTCCTCCTGGAAGGGGAGGAGAGAGGCACCAGCGCACGATTGGTCTGAATCCGGTCTGCCTCGGTCAGGTGATCCTACCGCAAAACTGGGGAAGGTGGTTTCCAACCAATCCCTCCTCTCTCTGTCAGGAACATCATCATGCGTGAAATGGCTCCCCAGTTCCAGATCCCCTGGTCCATCCCCACGGAAGCAGAAGACATCCCCATTGTGCCCACCACTTCAGGGACAATGTTAGTGTTGGCTCTGCTGACCATACCTCCCTCTCCGGCCACTGCTTGTGGGGACGGCTCCCGAGGTTGGCCTGTCAGTAGGAGGCACATGCTTTTTTAGAAAGACCACGTAGGTTTGGGGCCCTCTTTGCAGTGTTGTTGGATTTTCTGATAACAAGAAGATGTGGAGTTGGTATTAATGCTTCTGGCTTCTGGCTACAGAAAACGTCCCAGCTTCATTCCCTGAAGCGCATAGGACAAAAACAGTTCAGGTGAAATTCCGCCCTTCCCTCTTCTTCGGCCTAAGATTCCGGAGGGATCCCTTCTGGGCTGAAGGGCCACAGCAGGTCCTGGAGTTGAACTGAAATCAGTGCCCAAGTCCTGAGGCTCAGCTATGGGAGGCCAGGCCAGCCAGCATGGCGGGAGAGCCCAGAGCAGGATGTTCCAGCTGTTCTCTTTCCCTGCTGTTGGTGATGGTGAAAAAAACAACGGAGCAACGTTTTCTGGGGCTGTGGCCAGAAGAGGCCTTGGGATCTCCTAGGTGTTGGTCATAGTAGGAAGGAAGGAGTGGTGGAAGGGCATCCTCTGAGCTCAAGCATCTCTCTTGCAGGATGGAGCTACGGTGTGTGATTGCAGTTATAAGGCATGGCGATCGGACCCCCAAGCAGAAGATGAAGATGGAAGTGAAACATCCCAGGTATGGCGGAGTCCCTGGGTGTCTTGGAGCCAGGGCCCCTTCAGAAGGATAAAAAAGTTCCAGGACAAAATGAGCTCCAGAGAAAGAGCAGGCATAAATGTGGCAAACAACCAATAATGTCAGTCTCCTGCTTTGCTTCTGCTGTCACCAGGTTCTTTGTTCTGTTTGAAAAATACGAGGGCTACAAGACTGGGAAGCTGAAGCTGAAAAAGCCGGACCAGCTTCAGGTGAGTTTGGGGGCTCCCTCTAGTCGTAGACGAGCCATGCAGGTGAAACTCTCCCCCTCTGTTGGCCGATCTTGTGCCTGCCTACCTGGAGGGGGTGGCCGGGTGGTTGAGAGACACGGCTAAGGAGCCTGTGCCTTTGATTCCTAGAGCCCTCGGGCCCACAGACCTGAGCAAGCCTTTGCCCCGACAGGAGGTGCTGGACATTGCTCGGCTGCTGGTGCAGGAGCAGGGCGCCCTCGGAGACGCCGTGGCAGAGGAGCAAAAGTCGAAACTGGAGCAGCTGAAGACCGTGTTGGAGATGTGAGCAGGGACTTGTCTCCGTGGCCCCTCTGTCCCCCCCAAACCTCTGGGAGAGTAAGATCAACATTGCAAGCAATTCTTGCACCTCCTCGCATGTCCCCAGAGTGGACTCCCTCTGACTGGGGGGGGGCACTTCCTCTTGCGCCACAACAGAGGCCTGGGCAGGGCGGAGGGAGGGGGGCAGCCTGGCAGCTGCTCCACTTCAGGCGTGGTGCGTAAAGCCAGACGTTTCACGCGCAGAACTGTGGTCCTTTGTTATTCTGGCAGGTACGGGCACTTTTCTGGAATCAACCGCAAAGTGCAGCTGACCTACCTGCCTCATGGGCACCTGAAGGCATCCAGTGATGAGGAAGGCAGGTATTGAGGTCTTGCAGTGGGGGAGGGGCAGGAAGGCAGCTGTGGGTGAGAACGGGGGTCGCGGAAGAGCCCTGCCAACTTTTGCAGGATGAAGATCCTGATTGCATGCACGCTTCTATAGGCAAAGGAGGGGCATTCTGGGTGGTGGACTGATGGAGGCCCACTTTCACTCATTCATGCGATGAGGAAATGGAGAATGTAAACGGAGAAAGCTTCGGTCAAAATGCCAACCCTTGTGGAGAAGGGGAGCCACTGCTTCCCCCTCCCCGCCACACTTGCCAAATAATCCCCACTTAGGGGGAAAGTGCCAACTGAGAAGAGGATGGGGGGCAGAACTGAGGTTGCTTTTGTGCAACTTCCAGGCCTCAGAAGCACCTGGCAACTTTCCTTCGTCCCCCCCATCCTGTTTCACCAGTTCTTGCCCCTCTGCTCTGCTCTGGTGGTTGAGGAGTGGGCAGTAAGTCTTCATTCAAAAGCCATGGTGGCACAGTGGTTAGAATGCAGTATTGCAGGGTAATTCTACTGACTGCCGACTGCCAGCAGTTTGGCAGTTCGATCCTCACCAGGTCAAGGTTAAATCAGCCTTCCATCCTCCCGAGGTCAGTAAAATGAGGACCCAGATTGTTGGGGCCAATAGGCTGACTTTGTAAACCGCTTTGAGAGGGCTGTAAAGCACTGTGAAGCGGTATATACTGTAGGTCCAGGTATTATTGCTATTGCTATTCCACCCCAACCGTGGAAGGAGGTGACTCTAGTTCTCTGCTGTGTGCAGATCTCAAGGAAGCCTCCCCGTCTTTGCTCTTGGTGCTGAAGTGGGGGGGTGAGCTGACCCCTGCAGGCAGAGTGCAAGCGGAGGAGCTGGGCCGAGCCTTCCGCTGCATGTATCCAGGGGGCCAAGGTGAGTCTGGGCTTTGCATGCTGGTTCTTGGGGGGGAAGACAGAGACGGCAGCTGACAGCATCTTGGTAGCCACCTCCAAAGTGGGGTCCTTTGGTCCTATGCCTGCAGCCCAGCTGCTGGTCTCAAAGCAGGAAAGAACCCCAATATCTTCCTGGAACGGCCAGTCAGCAAACAGCAGAAGGCAGAGGGAAGAATGATGGTGATTGGAAACGACAGGTGGGCCACAAGCTTCTTTGGTGCTTGCAAGAAAGATTTTGGGGCATGTGCTGTGAAGTTTTGGGCTGCTTCTCCAGTTGGATATCTGAGGCTCTTCCTGTCCATCCCGTCTCCTTTTCATCTGCCCGGAAATGCTGTTTCTTCCAACACTCTGACCTGCAGCATTGTTTAGTGGTGCCAGACACCCCGGCAACCCTGCCTGCTCAGTGGATTTTCTGCCCTTTGGAGAGGGCACTATGAAAATGAAATGCCCAAACTTCTGGAACGGCCACAGGGTTTCTCTTTCCTGTCCAGGAGACTATGCTGGTTTTCCAGGCTGTGGCCTCCTTCGGTTGCACAGCACCTACCGCCATGATCTCAAGATCTACGCCTCTGATGAGGGCAGAGTTCAGATGACGGCAGCAGCATTTGCAAAGGTTCCTGGAGGGGGGAGTCTTCTGGGAGGGGGGGGTTCCAGTCAGGCCAGCAGGGGCTGTAGGAGGGCTCAGGTCCCTTCCTTCTGTGTGCCCCCAGCACTCTGCCTGGCTAGAGCAGGGGCCCTGCAGGGGCTTCTTTTGCAGAGTGGAGGGGGGGGGGAGAGGCTGAAGCCGTGTCTTCCCACAGGGCCTCCTTGCTCTGGAGGGGGAGCTGACGCCCATCCTAGTGCAAATGGTGAAGAGCGCCAACATGAACGGCCTGCTGGATAGTGACAGTGACTCCCTCAGCAGTTGCCAGCACCGAGTGAAGGCTCGTCTGCGAGAAATCATGCAGAAAGACGCCTCGTTCTGCACGGAGGACTATGAGAAGGTGATGGAGGAGCACTTCTTCGGCCTTCAGAAAGGCTTTTGTAGGCACCCCTATTCCAGCGAAAAGGCTGGAGGGTGCCAAGACGGAGTGAAATAAACTACGTTTCCCAATGGCTTCTGCTTTCAAGTCCTGAACTCCAGAGATGCCAGCTGAGCATGGTGGAGCCAGTTGGCCCGAATCTGGGTAGCAGCCTGGTTGGTCTGTCAAGGGCACTGTTGATCCTTTGCTTTGATTTCTCTCCAGCTGGCGCCCACAGGCAGTGCTTCCCTCATCAAGTCCATGGGGATAATTGGGAATCCAGTGGAGACCTGCGAGCAAGTCTTTGAACTGATTGAGAACCTCACTTCCCAGATCCAGAAACGTCTGGAAGACCCCAAGTCTGCCGGTACGAGAGTCAGTTCCTTTGCAGCCGAGAAAAGCGGGAGTTGCGTGCACGTGGCCCGTGCCACAGTGGGCAGCTTCTGAGATGGTGGCTCTTCTTTGTTTTTCTAATAAAACTCTTGAAGGTCTAAGAGTAGCTCATGTGAGGGGGCAAAATCCTGGGGGCAGCAGGGAGTGTGAACGATGCACCGGGCTCGGGAGGCCTTGAATTGGGATCCTCTCTCCAGAGGGGAGTTGCTCCTCTGCTCTCCCAGCTTTTCTTTGCTCCCAAAGCCAAGTGCGGTGCTTGGGCAGGAGTACTTGGGGGTCGCTGCTTACGGACATCCTGGGGTTGTACGAAACGGCCGGTCTGCCGCTGCTCTTGCAAGTGGCCATACAGGGTTCAGCTGATCTGTCCCTTCACCTGGCACTGACGGGTTGCTCTGGCTTGGCAGACTTGCAGCTGTACCACAGCGAGACCCTGGAGCTGATGTTGCAGCGCTGGAGGAAGCTGGAGCAGGACTTCCAACTGAAGAACCGACGTTACGATATCAGCAAGATCCCCGACATCTACGACTGTGTCAAGTACGACATCCAGCACAACGCTGCCCTGCAGCTGGAAGGCACTCTTGAGCTGCTCGGGCGCTCTAAGGCGCTGGCGGACGTCGTGATCCCCCAGGTATGGGGCGCCCCTCGGCCGCAGAGCCCCACCGCCAGGCGGTGCTGAGGCTGCCCTGCAAACGCTCTGGCCTTTCGCAGGAGTACGGCATCAGTCAGCAGGAGAAGCTGGAGATTGCAGTGGGATTTTGCCTGCCCCTCATCAAGAAGATCCAGCTGGATCTGCAGCGAACCCACGAGGATGAGTCTGTCAACAAGCTGCACCCTTTGTAAGAAGTGGGCAGATGCCCCAGGCAGGACGACAGGGTGGGCTTAGGCTGGGATGTCTGAATACGGGAAGCCAGCGGATGCTGCCTTGTGTTCCTTCCTCCCACGCTCGCAGTGGGCCTTAGCTGCCTTTGTGACCCAGCCCAGCAGGGTGACTTTTGCTGCCTGGCTGGTCCGCTTGCAGGTATTCCAGGGGAGTCCTGTCTCCAGGGCGCCATGTCCGGACACGTTTGTACTTCACCAGCGAGAGCCACGTCCATTCCCTGCTTAGCATCTTCCGCTATGGAGGCCTGCTGGATGTAAGCGGGGAGCAACCACCAGTACACTTTGGGGGTGCCACGTCCAGGGTGTTGCACAGAGCTTTGGCTCCATTTCTCAGCATGAGCCCCACCGACAGGCTTCTTAGTCCGGAGCCCTCCTGTTTCAAGGACTGGGGCACTTGTGCCGGAGATGCCCAATCTTTGGTGGCTCCCTGTTCAGCCCCCTGGTCTCCTGAGGGGCAGCTGACAGCGTGATGGGCTTTGGAGTCCTGTGGGGCTGTAAAAGGAAGGGAAGCTGCCTTTGCCCGAGGCCAGTCAGGAGAGGTGGGAAGGCAGCAGCAACTCCCCAAGGCCCCCTTGCTCGGGACTCCCTGCCCAGCTTTGCCAGGGCTTCAGCCTGGCCTCCCTCACCTGCTCCTTTCTGTGCCAGGCCTCGAAAGATGCCCAGTGGAAGAGGGCCATGGACTACCTGGGGGCCATTTCGGAGCTGAACTACATGACTCAGATTGTCATTATGCTGTACGAGGATAACAACAAGGTGAGGGCGGGGCCGACCAGAGTTGGGCCAGCCCAGCACTTGGCCCCGTCTCATCCGTGGTGTGGCCTCTGCAGGACCCATCGTCTGAGGAGAGGTTCCATGTGGAGCTGCATTTCAGTCCCGGAGTGAAAGGTTGCGAGGAGGAAGGCAGTGCCCCAGCGGGATGCGGTTTTCGCCCAGCCTCTGCAGAGGTGAACTTGTACCCTCCTCTCTTCCGGGGCCAGCTGGATGCCGAGGCAGGGTGCCTCCTGTCACACACAGGGCAGAGAAGCAGCTGCAGCCTTTTCTTGTTACTCTCCAACAATATCTTTATCCCTCTTTTCCTCAACCAAGCTGCAAAAGCAAGGAAGGGGAGCTCTTCTGTCTCGGCAGCCCAAAGCTGGCCAGCCTGCTTCTCCTTCCCCATTGCTATCAATGCAGCTTCCGTGCCCAGAGAGAGAGGCTTCCGCTGCTTCGAGCATCACAACCTCAGCTCTCTTACAGAAGGAGGCCAGAAAGCCGGAGCAGGGGAGTCTGGAGGACCTGGCCGAGGCCAAGGTCAGCGACGAGACAGACAGGGCCGAGACACAGTCCCCGCAGCCTCTGGAGCCGGTCTGCGTCCAGCGCCGGTCACCCTTGATCCGGAACCGCAAGACGGGCTCCATGGAGGTGAGGGGGGGAGCAGGAAGAGGAGGGAGAGCCGTGCATTTCAGCTGCAGCCCAGGCAGGGGGCGGCCCTGGGGAAGCGCTCTCTTCCTCTGAAGAATTGGGGCTCCGTTTGCTTTACGAACGTTTCCTTTCTGCAGGTGCTGTCCGAGTCATCCAAATCCAGCGGGTATCGGCTCTTTTCCTACGCCAGGCATTCATCAGAGGGGAAACAGAGCGGCTTAGGTAGAGAGCATGAAAGTCCCTCCTTTTTGCTTCCTCTTAGGCTGGCCTGACATGTGGCAGCCCTGAACCCTCCCTCTGAGTCCAGTGCTGAGGGAGCCGGCAGAGAGGGGAGCAGCCCTTACAGAAAGGCTGGGGAAGCTGCGACACAGCAGGCAGGAGCAGCAGCCCCCGAAGTGGCTCTGGTCCAGCTGAGAAGGTGGTGGGGGGGCTCCTGCTGGAGACGAAGGATTGTGGGGAAGTCTGCTGGTTTGTCCCTCCTCAAACCAAGGAACCTTTCCTTCTGTGAAGGTTGGAGTCAGACTGGCCGAGTTAGGAGAAGTTAGTGATAATCCCAGCTCAGGAAGATGCCCCTTCTCGGTTGAAGAGGAGGACCTTCCTTTGTTCTCCTGCCTCTGCCTCTTCCTTTGAAGAGGATCTGCTTTCCTGGCCCTTGAGGTGGTCAGAGGGGATTGACCCTCAACCCCAATCTCTCCCATTTGCAAATAGCCTGGGAAGGCAGCCACGTTGGCTGGATCGCCTTGGAAGGCTGCTGTGGTGCCTGGGCCCCGCTGGGCATCCCCGGCCTGCTTGTGCTGCTGGGCTGTTCAGGGGCTTGGCCCGTGGCCAGGCTTCTCCCAAGCACCTGCAGGGGCCGTTTCCAATCTCTGGGGAGCAGCCTTCTTTCGGGGAGCAGTGAGGCCTGGGAGAACCGGGACCAACGGCCTGCTCAACAAGGCTGCCAGTTGGTTGCAAGAAGGCCTGGCTCTGGCCCAGGAAGGAGGCCTCCTGCACGAAGGGCCTCTTTCAGCAAAGCCGATAGGCTGCTTTTGAAAGGCATTAATTCCCGAGATTCCTGTGAGCTCCTCCTAGGCGTAGGGGCCGTTCCTTGAGTACCGGAACCAATGAGAGCTGCGTCCTTCTATTTTTTTCTCGCCAGGGGTTCCAAAGGGAAAAATCCCCCCCCCCGTTTCCATTATTGCTCCCCACGCAGCACCAGTCGTGCCCCATGACTCTTTTTTGCCGATGCCCTTTGTGCACAAGGCCAGGTCAGCCACCATCCCATTTGTTTCTGGCTGGCCCAAAGCTTGGAGACATCTCCTGTCCTACAGCTGACAAGGGGCTCTCCCCCACGGCCTCCTGGGTCTTGAGCTATCCTTGAGCTATCCTCTGGCAGATTGGGGGGGGGGTGCTTCCCACCATGCAGATGGATTTCTTGCTTATGAATGAGAGGTGAAGAGATCAGATCCCGCTCTCCTTTCCAGGGTCACCGTGCTCAAGGCTCTTCAGCACCACAGTCCTGGGGGGCTCCTCCAGTGCCCCAAATCTTCAGGACTATGCACGCAGCCATGGGAAAAAGTTTGTCTCCAGCTTTCTGTACAAAGAAGGTAGGTGCACCTTCTGGTTCTGGGCCAGGGAACCAGGCTCCTCCTGGGCGTTGAGGCTGGGGAAGGTTGCTGCCAGCCCCTTTCTAGTCAAAAGGCAGATGTGGGGAAGGACTGACTCCTCCCTTCTGCCCCGAGGCTACTGCTTGTGCCTGGCAGCTGTTCAAAGAACATGGAGAAGGTCACTGGGGGACAGTGGATGTGGCTCCCGTGCCCAAAAAAACCCAGGAAAAACTGGGCAATTCATCCAGAAGAACCCAGAAGCTGTTTTGTAGATGTTCCTCAGCACATGATAATGGACAAAAGTTCACAGGCGAAGTTGACTCTGAATGTTAGGAATTCAAGAGGGAACCAACTACTTGGGGGGGGGGGAGATGGCTTCCCCTTCCCTCAAGGGGTCCCAACGGAGGCGCTCGGCATCATCTGCGTGGGGGGAGGGGGGAGGTTTTCATGTCAATTTCTGCCGTGAGCAAGCAAGAGTTGTACCCCTCCCCTCCCCTAATCCTGCAGCTCCTTTCAAGATCTATAAGGAAGACCCTCCTCTGTCTTGAACCTCTTGAAGCAAAGAATCAGTTGGTCAGAATTTGGTTTGGCTGTTGTTAGTCTAAAGAGTTCCGTTTGGAAATCCTTCAAGAGCTGTGAAGGTCCAGGAGAAGTAGGGGATGAAGGGCCATCAAGAGAGTGCCTGGTTCTGTTCAGATATCTGACCTCTGATGCCGAAAGTGGCGCTTACATTGCCAAGGGCGATGTAAGAGTCCTCTGGATTTTGTTGTGGAATTGCAACCTTGGACAGGACCGAAGGGAGAAATTAGACACAGTCCCGGCATAGTTGGTGTGGTGGCTACTGAATTAACCCACTTTCTGGGTTCATATAACACGCCAAATCATAAATTGACCAGAACAAGACTACAAACTAACTCCGCCTCCTATAAATATACCTTAAAATTACTTGAGCTTAAGCAGGTGTGGATGCAGCCAGTAAGCTGGTCTGAGAAGGCGGCCTGCTGCCTGTCCTGGGCTGTTGGCTTGGCCAGCATTCGGAGTGCAGACCCCTGGTTGAGCTTGGCTGGCAGGGAAGGGAAGGGAAAGGCTGCGGACATGGTTGGCATCTCCTGGGACTGGCCGTTAACTCTGTTTCTTAGTGCCTGAAGCCGTGAAGAGGTCTGGGACCTGGGAAGGGAGGCAAATAGAGTCTCTGTCTCTCTCCTGTCTCCTTTCCTTCAAGGTTGGCCTTGGGCCTCCATACTGTTCTGAAGATGCTGTCCTGCCTTTTATAGCCCCGGCCTTTCAATGCAGTTTGGGGGTCCAGTGAGCTTAGCCTGGCTTCTCCTCTGCTTCTCTCCCCCTTTTGTGCCCCTCCCTCATACTTCCCCACCAGCAGCAGCTGCAGTTTTGGCAGAGGCCAACTGCGCCTCCTGCCCCCCCCCCCCAATTCAAGGGATGTTTTTTCTTGTTTCCCCAGAGCTCTTGTCTATGCCAGCCATAAAGAGATTTTCTGTGTCATTTGCAAAGCATCCAACTAATGGTACGTTTGCTTCTTAATTTGAGACTCTTCTTCTCAGCTCTCCCTCCCTTGCACTTGCTGTGTCCTCACCTCTTGCTCTGTTTTTGTGACTGGTTGTGTTGTGTCATGTTACTGTTGCCTCACAATAACCGCGATAACTGTCTGCTCGTCTCAGAAAGAGGGGAGAAGGGTCACTGGGGCGCCACAATGAGGGTGCACTTAAGGGACATAAGAAATTGTGTCCACAGACAAAGTCACTAGGGATTGAGCTCAGTTGGAAGGAGGCTTGACTCTGAGGAGGGGGAAGCATTTCCTGCCCTACAGAGGTCTGACAAAATGCACACAAACCCCCAGTTCATTTTGAAGCTCCTTCGCCTTAGCGCACAAGCGTTTTTCTGGAACACAGATGGGGGAAGGATGTGGGAGAAGGTCAGTTTCCAGAACAGGAATGGGCCCTTCACTTGGTCAAGAACTCCTTTGAAATGGGGAATAATAATAATAATAATAATAATAATAATAATAATAATAATAATAATAATA